TGCGGTTGTTGTTGTTTTTGGAATACAAGAACTGTCCTCAGCTTGGTGAAGAAGAAAGTGATTATGAAGGTTCCCAGAGATATGCATGATGCCAAGGCTCTCGGAAAAATCCCATCCAAACATAAGGACCCCTTTAGGTACAAGTACTTGTAGCTTATTTTGCTGTTCCAGGCTCTGTATTTCTCAGTATACTCTGGGGATCTCTTTACCCCGTCCACTAGCCTTATTTCTTGTTAGTTTGTGTTCCGGACTTGGTGCCTCATTTTTCTATACGCTCTCCTATTTGGCTGGGAGACCAGTTGTGAACAAATACGTAACAGAGAAAGCAGTAAAAAGGTCACAGCAGGCTGAATGTCACAGAGAACATTTCATTAACCACATTCTATCTTTAAGAATACACCATCTCTGCCAAACTGGTTTATTAACATTACGTCTTCTGGGACAAACGTGCCTTTCAAAGTTTTTTATTGGCACGTCTCTCAGCGCTGCACCTCCGTCTTTTGTAGCGATTAAGGCAGGAACAACTCTGCCAGCTTACACAGAGAAGCGGCTTCCTGGACTCAGCACCTATCCTGATTCTGGCTGCTCTTTCTGTTTCGCCAGCCAGAAATCTGAGTAAAAAGTTACCAAGCTTTTCATTTTCCTTTCATCATTATCATCATCATCTCCGGATGGGCAGGTGCATCCATTTATGTTTTTAAAGTACATCTTCAGTAATTGAAACAAGGAATTTGTAAAATAAAATTTCCTTTCAGATAGTTTAAAATAATGGTTTTAAATGGCAAGAGGACAAAGAAAGCACACATGGACACTGGGATATACTCTGAACAATGCTTTCTGGTTAAGGGTGGACATCTTATAAATCACGGTGCTAAGGGTAGTTACAGATAATAGCAACGTGGTAGAAAATATTCAATTAATATTTTTCTCTATTAAGTCTAATAACTAAAATAGAAAATCTAGACTTTATAGTGTTACAGTCCTTGCTAATCTTAGCCTTCTTTCAGCAAATACAACTGACAACCAATAAAGAGATTACGCTCTCCTCCTTGTACTCTGTAAGGTAATGGGTTTGTTAGGAGATTACACCTTAGTTGACCACAGAATATGGAAAAGACAGCAAGTTTCCTATTTTCTGAATTTTATTTTCTGTTCTAGATTTTTACCATGCACTAGTCTGAAATTTAAAATTCTGGCTAGTCTTTTTATTCTTTTGTCTAGCTTTTACAGTATTTCCATTACACATACACAAAATGTAGATTACAGGATAGCTATCATATTTGGTGCTGGTAATTTATGTACTCAGATAATATTTTGTTATAATACCTCTATCACAAAAGGGGATTTAAAAAACAAACAGAGTATGCAGCTTTTAGACATTAGGTTAATTATTTTATATGCTGGCACCGCGGCTCACTAGGCTAATCCTCCGCCTTGCGGTGCCGGCACACCGGGTTCTAGTCCCGGTTGGGGCGCCGGATTCTGTCCCGGTTGCCCCTCTTCCAGGCCAGCTCTCTGCTGTGGCCAGGGAGTGCAGTGGAGGATGGCCCAGGTGCTTGGGCCCTGCACCCCATGGGATACCAGGAGAAGCACCTGGCTCCTGCCTTTGGATCAGTGCAGTGCGCCAGCCGCGGCGGCCATTGGAGGGTGAACCAATGGCAAAGGAAGACCTTTCTCTCTGTCTCTCTCACTGTCCACTCTGCCTGTCAAAAAAAAAAATTTTTTTTTTTTAATATTCTGAAACAGTGGCAGAACAGCTCTTAAGTAGTAAAATATAGTTTGTTCCAGTGACTAAAATTTACCTCATTTCTTTGTTAGTCTGGTCATTAAGGAAGGTGCTGTATAATTATCCTTTTTATGCATGGTATACCTAAAAGAATGCCTTATTTCACTTCTGTTTGGCTTTTTAGTTTGGGGCTGCTTTTGATTAACACAGTTTCCCAATTAGTGTTTCTACTTTTTCTAACTTGCAAAGTAAAATTAATTTCTCACATGGGGAATACAATATTTAAATAGTTCTAGAAAAATGAAACCACTTTTTGCTGCTTGGTTAATGCTTATGCCTTGGGTTCCTTGTTTCTAGGCCGTAGCCAATCTAAAGTACTCTGTCAGCTTTACCTTCACCCCAAGACTGTCATTATGCCGAAAAGTACTCCGGCTGTGTGAGAAGCCCTTGTGTTTTTATTGTGAGAGGTATAACCTCCTTCAAAGCTTGTTTCTACTGAATAATATGTATCATTTTTTCTGTCACAGTATTAATAAACATACTTATTGTAAATACAAAAAATATATAGATTAATACAGTATTCTTACATCACCTGGCATTTTGTCAGAAATTATTGTTACTTTTAGTAAGATTTTTTTCTTATTGATAGAGACTGGGTGATACAGCTTTTGTTATTTTTACATATAAACTTAAAACACAGCCTTTTTGGACAAAGTTCACTAAATATACCTGTATAAAAGATAATGAGTAAATTTTATGAGCCTTTTAAAATAAAACACAGCTTGCATTTCAGGAGATCAGTTAAAAAAAAAACCACCAATACCGGATATCTCCTGCCACGGGTGCTGCAAACAACGCTGATGTGCCACTATTCTGGGGGCTCTCATTGCCTCCTACCGAAGAGAATGCAACACAGACTGCACGACTGATTTTCCACAAGTCAGAGGCGCATGGGAAACCTAACAAACTGTCAGATCTGCTGCCAATATCATCAGCCTGAGTCCTTGGCCTCAGCTAGTTCTAGTCAGACGAGACTTCACCCTCACTGAGGACACCCCCCCCCCCCCAGTGACCGTCTATCAGGCCCCTCACAGGAGCCGGCTGCCCGTGGCAGCTGCACACCCTGCCGTCCTCTAGCACACACTTCCATTACGAGCAGTGCACTCCTCACATCCTGGTGCCCACCTCAAGCAACAGAATCACAACGACACCACATGATCCAACTATCAGGGTTCTTCTTAGGCGTCACACTTCTTCCCGCTGCCACCCAAACTACACTCACTGGGGCCCCACGGGTGGAAGGAGTCAGTCGTATGATACCTGGAGGGGTGACTTTAAAACCAATCCCTACCTTCCGGTAGCCCACTTCGACCTGACAGACTGCTGAAATTACCGAAGGTCTATGGGAGGCTGCTCCCCAGCACCGCAGGTTCAATACTCTGACTTGGGTCTTGGGAATTCAACCACACCCTTAGACTGTGCCCCAAGTGGATCTTGTATTATCCAGACACAGCCAGAGCTCAGTGGCTCACATCACGTCTGGTCCTGTCTCAGATTCCCCAACGATGCACTGACAGCTACCCGCAGAGGGACCAGGGTTCACTGGGAAGTGTGGCTCCAGAGGCATCTCCGTCCACCAAATACCAAGACCAACCTGCAAACAACAGGCTGCTGGGCTGAAGTCTGCGGGTCCGGGGCAGCCACTGGGTTAGCTTTGCTTTCCAGATGGACCCCGCCCAAACCCAGATGACACACAGAGCCCTCCTGGCTGCCGGCAGCAGTGGTTCTCCACACGGGCCGCGCCTGTCGGCTAGCTGCACAACTGAGTCAACGACTCAGGCACAGTGGAGTCGGTACTAGGAACACTGAACACCAAACTAAACGGCTACACTTCTCTGGACACGGGATGCCAACAGCTAACTCCACCTGGCAACCAGTAAAGAATGCCCTCCCAAGTATCAGCTGGTTTCTACCTCTTAGGGCCCCTGACAGCTGAAAGTGTGCTACAGGTTTCCAGTTCGTGCTTTTCAACCTCCCGTTAGGATTGTCTTTAGAATACAGCAATTCCACATCACGATGCTTGTCCTTTAAGAATTCCAACTGCTGGCAATTAAGCTGGACCCAACTCCTGACTCAGCTGCCTGCTGCTGAGACCCCTAGATCAGGAGTCCAGAGAATTCCATGCCCCGGGCAGGCAGGGACACAGAGTCCACACACAGCTCTAAACAAGTTACAGGAGACTTCTCCCTCACCAGCTCCTTAAGATGAAGGAATGGGCTCTCTGAGCGGGGATGAGCTAGGGAGGCGGAGGAAGCTGGTGAGCCACCTGGGGCAGCTCCTATTATCACCTCAAGACCCACGGAAGACGGGCTGGGGTTCTCCTGCTCTGAGGATAGAGACCCCACGTGTGAGGTGCGGGGACCAAGGCTGCCCTAGACTGACCTAGAGCTCACCACGTACTCACTGTAATCAGTGCTGCGCTGGATGACGCAGCTACCAGCCAGGGTGACGGGGGGACACAGGGCCAAAGAAGGGTCAAAAGGGTGGTAGCTATATTCTGGGAAATCGCCACCTACTTCCCAGAAAAACCACAGACTTCCTCTCCTTTACTAAGGGTGCACTGCAGGGCTGGCGCAGCGGCGCAATGGGATAGGCCTCTGCCTGTGGCAGCGGCATTCCATGTGGGCGCCAGTTTGAGTCCCAGCTGTTTCTCTTCCGATCCAGCGCTCTGCGATGGCCTGGGAAAGCAGTAGAGGATGACCCATGTGCTTGGGCCCCTGAACCTGCATGGGAGACTGGGAAGACGCTCCTGGCTCCAGATTGGCCCAGCTCTGGCCACTGCAGTCATTTGGAGAGTGAACCAGCGGATGGGAAGACCTTTCTATCTCTCTTTCTCACTGTCTGCAATTCTACCTCTCAAATAAATAAAATCTTAAACAAAACAAAACAAAACAAAACAAAACAAAACAAAAGGGTGCAGCAACTCCCCTCTCATTCAATGACCCACACAATGTCAGCGTTCAGAGGTGGCTGCCCCTCTCCGAGCAGGCCTGCACCCGTGGAGGGGGCACTGCTCTGAATCCTTTCCCGAGTGGTGTCTGGGCCACAGCAGGCCTGCACCCGTGGAGGGGCACTGCTCTGAATGCTTTCCCGAGTGGCCGCCCCTCTCCGAGCAGGTCTCCGAGCAGGCCTGCACCCGTGGAGTGGGTACTGCTCTGAATCCTTCCCCGAGTGGTGTCTGGGCCACCAGCAGGACTGTGCTTCAGAAACTTACGTGTTCCTTGAATAACTTCTCCTGCATCTTGTTCTTATTGAGAAAATAGTGCCGTGCCCATTCGCCCGATGTCAAACATTTGAAGGCTTTCTCCAAGTGCTCATCCTTCTTAAAACGCTCTATTACTTCTTTTAGTTCTTCTTGTCTTCCTTTAATAGGCCTAAATCTGAAAGAAATCAAAACCATAAGCTTAGTTATGTGCAATGATGCTCGGGCCACAGACTCATCTCAGAGATCCCGAGAAAGGGCTAACACTGTAAAAACCGCCGTGGTTACCAGAGCAAAGCTCTAACAACACAGAACAATCGATAATCGGTGATAATCACTATTCAAATAATGCTGGTCACCTGGAAACAACTTCGCTTTCTCCAAACTGTAACGTTTTTATTTGTTATTTTAAATATAAGATGACCGGATAATTCCAACAAAAACTGATTCAGGCTTGAGACTTTGAAAGGTACAGAGAGAGATCTGTCACAGAGTACACAAGAGAGCACGTCTAATTGAAACTCGGAACGCGAATCTTTAGAAGCACGCAGAATCAAGCTGAAGACTGCAACGCAGTGAAGCATGAAGCAGCGAACAGCATCATGCACGACCAAGACACCGCCTAGGTTAGCGGCTGGCAGAGCCCCACCCTGACAACTGCAACGCACCCTCAAGACGTCGGATGGCCAGTGTTCTACCCTCCAAGCCAGTCCCATCTCTCGCAGCCACACTCAGAACAGAAAACGTGGGAAGTGCAGTTCTGGCAGTCAACTGCTGTACTAGTGACACAGGAGAAAACGTTCGGTAGTTCCAGATTGCTGTTGTACAATCAGCCACACTGGCTTCCGATATTCAACTCCTAGGCCTGTCAGCCCACGACAACGCCCACCGTGCAGGCAGACTCCGAGAGCCCTCCAAACGCCCACCGTGCAGGCAGACTCCAAGAGCCCTCCAAGCGACCACTGTGCAGGCAGACTCCAAGAGCCCTCCAAGCGACCACTGTGCAGGCAGACTCCAAGAGCCCTCCAAACGCCCACCGTGCAGGCAGACTCCAAGAGCCCTCCAAGCGACCACTGTGCAGGCAGACTCCGAGAGCCCCTCCTCCATCTAAAGCTGCACCCTCAGCTGCACCATGATTAAAGGTTCTCAGATTTCAAATGTTTCTGTCAATTTCATTTGGTTGATTTTTCTAAATAAAGTTTTTATTTTTTAAGATAAACAAAACACTCAACAAAAAAAGGCATTACAGCCAAGTGGAAAGAAGCGCTCATCCAAGGAGGATGTGCTTTTCTCTAAGGGAGGAGAGAACTTCCACTTTGCCTACGGCCTTGTCTAAAGAGTGAAGGAGTTTGGCCGGCGCCGCGGCTCACTAGGCTAATCCTCCGCCTGTGGCGCCGGCACACCGGGTTCTAGTCCCGATCGGAGCGCCGGATTCTGTCCCGGTTGCCCCTCTTCCAGGCCAGCTCTCTGCTGTGGCCCGGGAGTGCAGTGGAGGATGGCCCAAGTGCCTGGGGCCCTGCACCCATGGGAGACCAGGAAAAGCACCTGGCTCCTGATCGGCATGGTGCGCCGGCCGCGGTGGCCACTGGAGGGTGAACCAATGGCAAAAGAAGACCTTTCTCTCTGTCTCTCTGTCCACTCTGTCTGTTAAAAAAAAAAAAAAAGAGTGAAGGCATTTGTGGACTCAAAAGGCTTCCATAGCCTAGGCAGCTCATGGCAAGACCCTCTGGTGACCACTGACGTAATACATAAGAGTGTCAATCATTAAACTCACAGGAGTCACTGTGCACTAACTCCCATGCAGGACCTCTGTCCTCAGCGAGTTGCATTGTGAGAGTTAACAGAAAAACTTGTCCTCAAAGACCTACTTCATTTTAGTGTAGTAAGTGCAGGATAGTCTTAAGTCTCTTAAGTTACAGTTATGTCTAAGTGCTCACAGAAGATGTGTCATTCTTGGGGTCTTCTTTAATGTTAAGTTTCTCAAAAAAAAAAAAAAAAAAAGAATGCTTAAAAAAGTGAAATCCACTCTGAGATGCAATGACTTTGAACAGCCCTTGTCTCGACTTTTAAGGAAAAGTTATTTTTTCCATACAATTTGTTGAACTCTTTCCTTAGAACAGAGTTAATTTTCTGTGTACAAAGTTAACTGAAAATGGATCTTAGTAAAAAATAAGACTGGGAATAGGAGAGGTAGGAGGAAGTGGGGTGGGAGGGCGGGCAGGGTGTGAAGAATCACCATGTTCCTAAAGTTGTATTTATGAAATGCATGAAGTTTGTATTCCTTAAATAAAAGGTTTCTATTGCTGCTCACATGAAATACATTAAAAACCGCAGCCCAAGAGGAGACGTCTGAACTCTGCACCCCGCTCCCAGCTCCACCTGCAGGTGCCAGGACTGAGACGAGGTCTGGCACGAGACCCGCCGAAGGAGTCTTGGGCAAGCATCTTTTCTCCTCGATCGTCCAACATTTCACTAAGATTTTTTTTCTAGATCGTCCAACATTTCACTAAGTTTTTAAAGCCACAGAACTTTACCGAGGATGATCAAGCCAGAGTACACAGCAGCACCTGAAGTGCTATGGTGAAAAATCCAAGACAAAAGACATGGCGCCGTCTCGAATGGAGTTTCAGACACGCACACACCAAGCGGTGAAGCAAGGCAACGCACGCAGACACAGTGAAAGCTGCATTCCGACAGCACTTCAGAGTGCGTGAACGTAACTAAGGCTTTAAGATTTGCTTGGGTTTTTGGGGGCTGACACTGACAGCAATGATGAGTGGTAAAGTTAGTAGTGCAGGTGGGAGAAAGTCAAGAGGCAGGCAGAGTGAGAACAGCCTGAGCAGAGGGTCTTAATAGAGCTGGGTTGCAGTCATTGCACAGGGTCAGCCGGCAAGCGACCACCAGGGGGAGGTGTAGGGTCTGGAACCTGGAACCGCTTCCTGGGGGACCAGGATTTCCGCTGGATCTGACTGCACCAGGAACTTACCAGCTTCGCGTCTAGTCTCACCAAGCCTAGACGGTCAGACTGTTGTGCACTATCTGAGCATGCCCACGTCGCGGAGCCACCACACGACACACGACAGCATTTTCAGCACAGCTCTCACAGAGAAGCCCAAGTCCTCCGACAAGTCACAACTTCCTGAACTAGACTATCACAGTGGCCGGGAGAACCTCCCTACAAGGACGGAGACCTGCAGAGGTGGGGAAGCACCAGATGTCCGAACTGCAGCACTCACTCGTGGTCATTCACAAGTGGGAGAGCCAGTCACCCTACACTCAGGACAGCTAAGAGGACAAAGCAGCTCAGACACACACTTTAGGCAGGACGAAACATGGAATGGTGGGAAACAGAAAATTCCAAGGTTTGTGCAACAGTCCGAAGAGCAAGAGTACACTCTGAGCAAATGTCCCAATCACTGATGGCGCTGAGGGCAGGGCTGCGAAGGCCAGCCTTTGCCCGTTGGTGCGGGCAGCAACCCCGCTGACGATGGCCTGACACCTAACGAGCCGGCTCAGAATCAAACTCACCTGAGGCTCCTAAGAAAACGGCAGGAAACATCCGCTCTGAACCCGCAGTGCACATGAGCGGTACATGCTTTCTCTTCCTGAAACCCGCTCCTTCCTCCCACAGCCTCCACTCTGCTTCCTTATTCACCAAACACAACATAATCAACTCCTTTTCATTTACACTGCTTCCTGACGTCTATCACTTCAAACACACACAAATCAACTCCTGAAACTACCCCTCTAGTTCACTAAAAATGGAATTTGTGGGGTGAGCATGTGATTTTACCTAATACACAGCGTGGGGACAGCAGGTGATGGCTCAAGCACTTGGGTCCCTGCCACCCACATGAGCGACCCGGACTGAGTTCCTGGCTCCCAGCGTTGGCCTGGCTGCTGTGGCCATCTGGGGAGTGAACCAGTGCATGCAAGATCTCTGTGTTTTTCCCTGTCACTCTGCCTTTCAAATAAATCTTCAAAATTTTTTTAAAGATGTTTCTCAAAGTTAATCTGCCATCTCAAAAAATGTTAAAACTTACAGTCGGAGATGGCTGCCATGTGAAATGACGGGGAGGGAAGGAAGAGAGCAGTTACGGTGCCGACAGGCAGGAGGAAGGTAAGGTTTTCAATCATCTTGTAGACGAGTATAAAAAGCAGCTGGCTGGCAATCAAGTCATCCCACTGCAACAAATTTTGTGAAAAAGAGAAACTGTTTAACATAAGACTGTCATAGTTACTAAGGCCAGAGCAAGAGCCACTGAGGGCCTTAGAAAAAAGTAACTTTCTATTGCTGAATAAGACACCCTCTTCTCAACCGCACTTGCTCCGCATCTCTCAGATTCCATGAAGCTGTCCGCAGAGCAGGACACACTCCTGGCTGTCACCCTCTGCTCCACAACGAGGCAGAGCAGGCCCAGCGCACACAGCAGCTGGCATTACTACTACTTGGTAGCAGCAGCACGCATGGCTCATGAACAGATGGCGGGACTTCTGCAAGGCCTTGCTGCCCTGGCCTCGAGAGCCCCCGTGTTGCCCCATGGTTTGAACACCAGGGCTGCGCCCAGGTGGTTCTGGCTCTCTGGCTTGTACACTGACAACACAGTGGAGGGGATGCAAGCACACACGAAGTTTTAAATTTGGTATCTGGGGTGAAGCAGCAAGGGAGGCAGGAACAGGTATCTGGCACTTCTAAAAAACTTTTAGTAAACTGCTTATCTCTTGAATTTCTTTTTCTTTCCTTTTTAAGGTTTGTTTACTCGAAAGGCAGAGTTACAGACAGAGAGAGGGAAAGACAGAAAGAGAGGGGTCTTCCATCCGCTGGTTCACTCCCCAAATGGCCACAACAGCCAGGGCTGGGCTGATCTGGAGCCAGGAGCTTCCTCCAGGTCTCCCACGTGGGTGCAGGGGCCCAAGGACTTGGGTCATCTTCCACTGCTTTCCCAGGTCATGGCAGAGAGCTGGATCGGAAGAGGAATAGCCAGGACTAAAACTGTCGCCCATATGGGATGCCGGCAACACAGGCATGTGTTTAACCTACTATGCCACAGAGCTGGCACCTTGAATTTAATTTTTTAAAAAGATTTACTTATTTATTTGAAAGTCAGATCTTCAGCTAGAGACAGAGAGATCTTCTATTGCCTAGTGCTGTTGCTACAACAGCTGGGGCTGGGCCACCCAGAAACCATGGGTGCAGGGACCCAAGCACTTGGGCCATCTTCTGCTGCTTTTCCCAGACCATGAGCAAGGAGCTGGATGGAAAAGGGGGCAGCCAGGATCCACATAAACTGGCTCCCACGTGGGATGCGGGCGCGGCAGGCAGCAGCTTTACCTGCTAGGCCACAATGGTAGCCCCAACATTTTCAAATCAGTATGTCCCCTCCTCCCTCTTTTTTAATACAATATCTAATACTTCAAATAAACCAAATATTTATTTTTCTCTTCCCACATCTCTGATCAATGGCTGATATCAGAAATTTTAAGAATGTCACTTACAATCAGTTATTATTAAAAGGAGGATAAAAAAAAATTCACACTCCCACACACCTGGTCCCCACTCTTTCCAGAGACTGACTTCCCAGGCTTCCTTGCTATTTTGTTTTTCTGTCTCCAAACCCGAGACCACTGTGGCAGCGAGGAAAAGCGCAGATCTGTGTTAGCTGCACTACTGTGCCCTCCTCTAGCACACACACCGAGAGCCGACTGGAGGGAGGGGAAGAGGAAGAGACAGAGGGGGACGGCAGAGAGGAGACAAACACGCCAGTACTTAAGACATCAAGTAAGCAAACGACGAGGCAACAGTGAACACATTTCCCCTCTGAATCAAGTTTAGCTGCAAACTGACAGTCTGGAGACGCCGAGAGGAGGCACCATGGCTCTTCGCTCCTTCTGCACCTGGAAACAGACAAGAACCAGACACATACCTGGCTGAGTCCTGCAGCCGGTGCCCAGCTAATCCCACGCACTCACTCCTGACCTTCTGAGGAATGCCTGTCTCTTAAAGTGATCCTGTTACCAGGACACGTGCTTTTTAAAAAACATAACCAAGACCAAACTATATCTAAAGGTTTGCCAACGTTCTAGCCCTCGTGTTTCTGCTGGCACCTCAGATCACCTAACACTGAGGACCAGCAGCCAGGCTGACACAGGGTGGCCGGTGTCTGCCCACCGCGGGCAGCGCGCACCTACCTCACGGGGTTGCTGTGAGGGAAACTGTCCGACTTTGAGAAGTGCCGCGAGCTCCTCGAAGGAAAGGCGCTGCACAGAAGCAAACACAACAATAAAAACCGTTTGTATGATCCGTGCTGGTCGTTCCTGAACACACTTACAACACCCACTGCAGAAGCCCCTGCACACCCAGCAGGATCCCAAACGCCAGGCGCAAAGCCCTCCTCCCACAGCACTCTGCAGAGCGGGCCAGAGGGCTCTGCGATGTCCTCATGCGTCTTGTCAAGCACCCATGAGTGATTTACAATTCCTACCCACCAGGGCACACAAATAACCAAGTACCTACACAAGTAACATCAAAAGTAGACGTTACAGCGGTGGAAGGATGAGCAAGGACTGCGTACCACCCGTGTAGAAAGACTAAGAAAAGTCTCAAAGAAAAAGTGCCCTGAGATGACTCCTATTTCTTTAACGTGCTCAGCTCCCTGCTTGCTGGGGTCCCCCCACTCCTCAGGACACGGACATCTGAGAGTTCTATTGCCAGAAGAAGGGAGCACCCAGGGGTCCCCCTGCCCCGTTTTAAGATTTACTTATTTATTTCAAAGGCAGAGTTAGAGAGAGAGAGGAGGAGAAACAGAGAGAGAGATATCTTCCATCTGCTGGTTCACTCCCTAAAATGACTGCAACGAACAGGGCTGGCCAAAGCCAGGAGCTGCTTCCGGTTCTCCCACATGTGTGCAGGGCCTTAAGCACTTGGGCATCTTCCGCTGCTTCTCCAGGCACATTAGCAGGGAGCTGGATCAGAGTGAGGCAGCCGGGACACACACCAGCAACCACTTGAGAGGTGCTGCAGACTGTGGCTTTCCCGGCTGTGCCACGGTGCTGCCCCCCACCCCTAGCCCCTCTGGACAACAGCCTTCCTCTGCACTCTTCGAAAATCAAAGGCAGCATCACAACTCAGTTCCCATAAAAAAAACCCTGAAGTTTCCTGACTGACAAGTCAAATCCAAACATTTCCCAACATTAAAACTAGTGCTGTCTGCACTACAACCAAGCATTCACGCTGCAACCCTGAGTTGTTGGTAAATAGGGGCATATAGTAAGACAGAAACCACGTGCTCAGGGCTGGTGCTGCGTATAGCGGGGAAAGCCGCCACCTGCTCCACTCCTGCTTCAGCTCCTTGCTAATGCACCTGGGAAGGCAGTGCAGGACGGCCCACGTGCTCGGCCCTGAATTCATGTGGGACACCTGGATGAAGCTCCTGGCTCCTAGCTGAGGCCTGGCCCTGCCCTGGCTGTTGTGGCCACTCGGGGAGTGAACCAGCAGATGAAGACCTCTCTCAGTCTCTCCCTCTATCACTCTTAATTTCAAATAAATTAAGAATTCTTTTTTTTTTTTTTTTAAAGAAACAGAAACATCAGTGGTTAAAAATACAGCCAATTTGGGCCAGTGCCACGACTCACTAGGCTAATCCTCCACCTGTAGTGCCAGCACACCAGGTTCTAGTCCCAGTTGGGGCGCCGGATTCTGTCCCGGTTGCTCCTCTTCCAGGCCAGCTCTCTGCTGTGGCCAGGGAGTGCAGTGGAGGATGGCCCAAGTGCTTGGGCCCTGCACCCGCATGGGAGACCAGGAGAAGCACCTGGCTCCTGGCTTCGGATCAGCACGGTGCGCCGGCCGTGGCGGCCATTGGAGGGTGAACCAACAGCAAAGGAAGACCTTTCTCTCTGTCTCTCTCTCTCTCTCTCACTGTCTAACTCTGCCTGTCAAAAAAAAAAAAAGATCCATGACAACTTCCAGACACTTCTTTGCACTCCAAATAGACAGAGGTCTATAAGCTATCTATTGGTAATCTACTGCTCCAATAAACCCCTACAGATTTTCCATAAAATAGTATATGCGAAATGACTCAGTCAATATCCTGCTAAATTCTCGCTCAAAAGATGAAGAGCTAGAAGGAACAGTCTTATTTCAAACACGTGCAGGATGAAAACACGCACCCTTCATCACTGACACGATCTCTGTGTCTTGCCAAGTGGCAGCAGACAGGCCTGTGACAGCCGCCCAGGAGGGAGGGAGAGACGACCACTGCACAGGTGCAGTGGCTTGCGGCCCACCTGGGATGGCAGCACTGCTATCCCACCATAAGCTGAAAACTTTAGAAACTCTATAATTAAATGCTGCACTGAAAAGTACAAATGAATGTTTTCCTCTGTAGGTTTAACCAGTTTAATTTTAGATGCTTCAATTTCTATGGGAAAAAAACTTCTACATACAGGCGTCCTCAAACATAGTAAGGTCTTAAGTTTTAACAGTATTTGTATGGTAATCTTGAACTTTACATTTTATGGCTACAACTTTTTTCTTTTCTTTTCTTTTAAAGACTTATTTATTTGAAAGGCAGAGTTAGTGAGAGAGGAGTGACAAAGAGAGACTGACCACTGGTTCACTTCCCAAATGGAAAAATGGTTGGGGCTGGACCAGGCTGAAGCCAGGAGGTTCATCTGGGTCTCCCACATGGGTGCAGGGGCCCAAGTACTGGGGGCATCTTCTGCTGCTTTCCCAGGCACATCAGCACGGATCTGGATGATAAGCGGAGCAGCTAGGACTCGAACCAGCGCCCTTATGGACTGCTGGAGATGCAGGTGTTGGCTTAGCCTGCTATGCCCCAACACCTGGGCTCTGACTACACGGCTTTAACTGAGCCCCTGGGAACTACTAGCAAGGAACTTCACATCCACTCATCGTATCAGCGCACTCACAGGCCTGAGGCTTCCCCCTTTGCTCCCAGGACAGTCTGGGAGTTTGTCAGAAACAGAATCTGCATCTTACACGATTCTGCAGTCGTCTAGGAGCACTGGTACAGGGAGTGCAGTCTTTTCTATTGCAAAGACCAGCAGAGGGTCCATGTTCACCCTCTGGGTCAAGGGCAAGGCTTTGGCACACGTCAAGTTCCTTCAGAAGCCACTGAAACTCTGGCTGGGATACTGATGGCATACAAAAAATTTATCTGGAAGGCACGTGAGTAAGACAGAATCTGGCAGCTTTATGGAATACTTCAGCATGTTTCACGTATCTATGTATGTCTCCACACAATGAGCACCATGTGACCTTCTTACGACTCCAGGTCAGGACCACGTGCCTCCACGGTGACACACGGAACACTTCCAGACTGTTCTAACAGAGACTGAAACACTCCCATTTCTCCGCTCAGCCTTCAAAAGCCAACCAAACCTACAAACAAAAACCTCAGCAGGGCGCAGGGTCGGGTGGGCGGGCACCCGATGTAGCAGTTAGGATACCTGCACCTGTACCAGATACCTCGGCTGAGTCCAGCCCCCACTAACGCACACTCTGCAAGGCCGCACACGATGATTAAAGTGGTGCAGTCCTGTCACCCACTTAAGGAACCTGGATGGAATTCCTGTCTCCTGGCTCCATCCTGGCGCAGCCACAGCTGTTGTGGCATTTGGAGAATGGGTCAGTGGATGGGAGCTGTCTGCCTGTCTCTGACTTCCTCTCAAATAAATAAAAATAATTTTAAAATGTGGGTAACAAAAAGGTGACTTAAACACAAGCAGGGTCTTCCAGGAGGACAGCGAGCCCTGCTCTCTGACACCCACTAGGGAGAAAGTGAAATGGACTCACACACTGCAAACCAGACCCTAGCTGGACATCGGGGCGTGCAGCCTCGCTCATTTCCCAGGGAACAGCCAATGTCTCAATTTCACTGCACGGGTTCACTTCGTTTTCACGAGTAAAAGCAGACAGCAGCAGGAATTGCAGGAAAACACCGACCTTTCCCAAACCACGCTCTCTGTGGACTTGCAGTCACTAAGTGAACACACAGTGCACTGCTTTAATTCCAGCTTGGGGTAGAACACAGAGCGGTCGGGGAGGCCAGGACTCGAGAGCTCCCTCCCCTCACCTGTGCTCACCAGGTCACACCACGCTCCCCAGTTCAGCATCAGTGCCTGTCCACCCGGCCAGCCACTTCCTGCAGGGCTGCCCCGTCCTGACGGTCTCTGCTCGAAGCCTGGCCGGCGTGCTTTCCCACCCTCCGCCATGATAGTTAAGAAGTAAGGAAAAGCCGCAAAGCTCGGACCTCCCGTTTGGTGTCAGAAACAATTATGAAGTGACTGAGGGAGCAATGATACAAAAATATCTAGAAAAAAAGAGTTAAGAGATCTGACCTCAAAAATTAAAGGATGACAGATGTCAAGACTGACATCATAGTATTTTATATTTGTAGCTCTTGACAGTAAAATACTACATATTCACCTGCATACCTGTATGTGTACTAGATATAACATCTTTAAAAAATGTTCTCTTGGCCGGCGCCGTGGCTCATTAGGCTACTTCTCCGCCTAGCGACGCCGGCACACCAGGTTCTAGTCCCGGTCAGGGCGCCGGATTCTGTCCCGGTTGCCCCTCTTCCAGGCCAGCTCTCTGCTGTGGCCAGGGAGTGCAGTGGAGGATGGCCCAAGTGTTTGGGCCTTGCATCCCATGGGAGACCAGGATAAGTACCTGGCTCCTGCCATCAGATCAGCGCGGTGCGCTGGCCGCAGCGCGCCGGCCGCGGCGGCCATTGGAGGGTGAACCAACGGCAAAGGAAGACCTTTCTCTCTGTCTCTCTCCCTCTCACTGTCCACTCTGTCTGTCAAAAATAAATAAATTAAAAAAAAAAAATGTTCTCTTAGAATCCCAAACCTTAACCACGATGGCAGAATTCCCTTTATATAGTGGAATTATTTAAAAGAAGGACAGTGTATTAACAAAATCATGAAAAATACTGATGTAACCTACTTGCAGCAGGAAAATGCAATCATGCATCTTCAAGGTTTTGCAGGATGCTTCTAAGATTTTCCTTTTCACTAAGATAATCACCACCAGCATTTAGAATACGACATGAAGATGCTTCCCCAGCACTGTATTTCACAGAAACGTTTCGAGGTCAAGCAAGAACACAGAATTGGAACTGACAAGACTCTGGGCTTTGCTTGCTCCTCTGGTTCATTTACCGAAAATTCTTCTGAGGCAAAGAACTCTCCTCCAATGTCATTTTAAATTTTGAGCAGAGATAAAATTAGCC